CCCAGGCCCCCCCGCCAATACCTTCGAAAATACCCTCGGAGCTAATGAGAGACCGAAGGGAAGAACCTTGTACTGGAAATGGTCCAGTCCCAACGTGAAGCGTAGGTAGCATCTGTGGGAGGGGCGGATGGTTACATGGAAATAGGCATCTTGGAGGTCGAGGGCTACGAACCAGTCCCCTCGATCTAGCGCAGGAATGATTGTGGAAAGAGTAACCATCTTGAAACGTTGTCTCTTGAGAAATTTGTTCAGTTTCCAGAGATCCAATATAGGTCTCCAACGCCCTGTTCTTTTCTCGGTCAGGAAATAGTTCGAGTAAAACCCTCTCCCGTGGAACTCTCGGGGTACCCTTTCTATAGCCCCAATGACAAGGAGCCGATTGACTTCTTGTTTCAGAAGGGTTTCGTGAGAGTGGTCCCTGAAAAGGGACGGGGTAGGGGGAAGGTTAGGGGGGATAGAAATAAAAGGGATGGTATAGCCCCCTCGAATTATCTCTAGGACCCAGCGGTCCGATGTTATGGATTCCCACTGTGGGAGGAAGGCGCGCAAACAGTGGTTGAATAGATAGCCATGTTGAGGTGCGAGATCGAACGGGAGGTCTTGCAGACCCTCGACCAAATGTTCAAATTTGCTTAGATGGTTGGTTAGCCAGCGGGCGGGCTTGGTTGGGTCGCCTTCTGGGACCTCGCTGTCTTGGTCTGTTGTCTTCATAGGGCCTCTGTGGTCGATTGTATTGTCCATACCGATATCGATTATATGAATTATATGGGATGTATCGCCTGCGTTTATAGGGTGGCGTGCACATACCTAGCGTGCGAAGTGTGGACTTAGAATTTTTGCTGTTGTGGAGCATTTCATCCGTAGTGGCTGCAAATAGCTTTTGTTTATCAAATGGCAAGTCCTCCACTTTGGGCTGGAGTTCGCAGGGAACTCCAGATGACTGGAGCCAAGAAGCTCTACGCATCACCACCGCTGTAGCTGTAACTCAGGCTGCAGTGTCAGCTACATCCGTTGCCATTTGGAGAGCGGCCCGGGCGATCATATGGCCCTCATGAACTATTGATTTTAAGATGGGTCTTTTGGAGTCGGGGAGATGCATCATTAGTTCTCCCAGTTTTGAATAGTTGTCAAAGTTGTGATTTGCTAAGAGAGCAGAGTAATTTGATATTCTGAGTTGTAGGGTTGAAGAGGAGTAAACTTTCTTGCCAAATGAGTCCAACTTTTTGTGGTCCTTGTCTGCATTGCCCGTCCTATACTGTGGAAGCTTCGCTCGTTGTTGTGCTCAGTCCACGACTAGTGAGTTAGGTTGTGGGTGAGTGAAGAGAAAGTCCTTGTCTTTTGAGGGGACAAAGTACTTTCTGTCAATGTTCCTGTTAGTTGGTTGGATGGATGCAGGCATCTTCCACAGATCTTCTGAGGTCTTCTCTATGTGTAGGGCCATCTTGCCCTGTAGTTAAAGAATCTACATCCAACACAATTGGTATTGTTTCTTCTGCACCTCTTGCAGGGAGACATTCTGGCTTGTCGCTACTCTCTTGAATAGTTCTTGGAACTGTTTTAGATCATCAATCGTTCCAGTGTCTGAAGGTACTACGGCGTCCTCTGGTTGCGCATCAAGGGCATCCAAGTGTGTTACGTTAACTGACTGAGTATCTGAGTCATTGTCTGAGATTTGTCCCACCTCGTCCTCCAAAAAACTTGCTGGAGGTAGGGGTTGTGGCCGAAGCAAACTTCTCCGGGATGCAGTGGAACGAGGTGGGGAGCGTTGTCCATATGGCTTCCAGTGTTCCCACGGTCCCCATTGCGGTGGATAAGGTGGAGGTGGGTAAGGCCAGTATGCGTGCCATGGGCCATGTTGTGGCAGAGCCCTATAATGGTGGGAGCGAGCCTTCCCAGGTGATGGATGTCGTGAGGAATAGACCGTGTGGTGGTCATCATCAGGAAGGGGAGCGTTGTGGAGAGACGACGGTGACATCGATCTGGGAGGGGATCGCCTTGACGGAGACCCCTCAGGCTGCTTGTCTGGCTGTGGGAGGACCAGCGGAGCATCAGTTGGTGTCAGTGGCTTCGGAGGCTGCCCATCCTTTTGCTGCGGTGCTGTGACTTTAAGAGGCACCGCAGCTTTAAGCCGTGGTGTAGCTTTCGGCACTGCAGAGGCTTGAAGCGGCGCCGGGGCTGGAAGCGGTGCCGCGCTCTGAAGCAGCACCGCGGTTTGAAGCGGCGCCGGCTTTTCATGCCGTGCCGGCTGCTGAGAATGGTCCCGGGGCGCCGCAGAGGCTTGAAGCGGTGCCGGGACTGAAAGCGGTGCCGCGCTTGCAAGCGGCACCGCGGTTTGAAGCGGCGGCGGCTTTTCATGCCGTGCCGGCTGCTTGGAGCACTCCTGGGGCCGCTCAGCTGTTGAGCGCCCCGATACCAGCACGGAGTGAGAGGATCGCCCCAAAGTCTTAGTGGCAAGGGACTTCCCAGCCTGGTGTGCCTCTCCTCTGTGTTTGGGAGAGGAAGAGGCTGGAAGAGAGCGGGATGGAGAGGGTCTCGCTCTCGGGACATTTCTGGAAGGCGGCGGAGGCTGTTGCCACGGTGCAGATTGTTCTCCCGCAGGCTGTAGAGCTTTTTCAAATAAAATCATCCTGAGGCGGAGCTCACGGTCTTTTCTGGCTCTCGCCGTCAGGGAATTGCAGTGGGTCTCCCCCAAACACAGTATGTAGTCCAAGTGGCCATCTGAAGCCGGCATTGGGTCCCGGCATTGACCGCACTTTTTAAAACCTGAGGAGCCGGACATTGCGGGCTCTCTCCCTCTTGAAATTATTATATTTATCTTCTACATTGTTATAGTTTGTGGTTTTGCCGCTTCTTTTTTCTTTTTCTTTTTTTAAAGTCTTTATGTGTTTCTTGTTTTGACAGGCGGGAGAAAGCCGGTTCACCGGAGTCCCGGTCTGAGGTAAGTTCAAGCCCCCTGAGGGGGGATTTAATTAAGTCTATTTTTCCTATTTCTAGTTTGTTTGGTTTTTTAAATAAAGAAACAAGGAAAGAGTAACTAGGATAAACAGGGGAAGCTAACTATGTCTAAATAACTAAGGGGAAAGTAGTCAGTCTGACAGGGAGCTCCTGGCTGCTCCGTCCGCTGACGAGGGCGGTTAAAGAGGAACTAAAAGGGAGGGGGTTGAGTCACGTTCCTTAGGAGGCGGGAAGGGCTCGAGACGCCTCCTGGGCATGTGTGGCTCAACAGGGGAAACTGCTATACAAAGCTCTGATCTGCGGCTCAGAGCGACCCTTCGCCTACAGTGGAGCACCCACGGGGACACTACTCGAAGAAGAACCAGAAGTTCTAACCTTGCTGTTGAACTAGGCAGAAGTCACTATGGCATGGTCTACACTTAGTTTAGATTGAATGTAGCTGCATAAGGTCAATTTTCTAAAGAGACAGTCCACACTACCAAGGCCATTCCTTTAAAGGCCATTGAAGTTGATGTTAGTACTCCTGCTTTTCAGGAGAGGCAACACACAATTCAAAATGGCAGGGTTGAGTTCATGGTAGCATAGACCCAGAGTAGACAAAAATAAAGGTTCTTGGCCTCTGGACAGCATCCCATAGTGCCCCTCTCTGGCCAGAACTTGTGTGTCTACTGCTCTCCAGGAGAACAGGAAAAGCCACAGGAAATTCTGAATTTCATTCCCCATGTGGCCAGCGTTGATAGCATCTCTGAGCTAGTAGCACACGTGGCCATGACTTCAAGTCCAATGTCTTGAAGCTCCAGTTTCCAGAGGCACAAAAGAATGCCAGCACGGAGTGTGCAGAAGATCTTGGACCTTTTCAAGGAGTAGAGAGAGTAATTCATTATCTCAGAGCTCTAAACATCAAAAGAAATGCTTTTATCTAAGCAAAGATAGCAAAGTGGTGGAGAAATGATATTCCAGGAATACCCAGCAGTGCAGAGTTAAAATAAAAAAGCTAAGGCAGTTGTACCACAAGACAAAGGAGGCAAATGAATGAACTGGCACATCGCCACAAACATACCACTTCTACAACCAAGATATGTCTGGCATCAGCATGAAGGAAGAGGACGACAAGGAGAATTAGCTCTCACCACTCATCAGATGGCCATAATTTTTTTGGAGCCAATCCCCTCCTCTCAGGATGTCTCACAGTTGAGCACTGATCCGGGGAGGGTGCAATTTTTTTTACTTCAGGTTGGACCTCTCTAGTCCGGCACCCTCTGGACCTGACCAATCCCGAAGAAGGGAATTTGCTGGACCAGAGGCAGTCTGGGGAACCAGAAGCAAGGGACCACTTTCCCTTTCTGCTACCATCTCTCCAGCCCCGGCTGAGCTGCCTTAGTTGCCACATCTCCAGCCCTGCCACACTACCGGGGCTCCGGCACTGGCCCCAACCCTACTAGGCCCCAAGCCACCAGCCCTCTTGCAACTGGGGCTCCCAGCCAGGACTCCCTGGTCCAGTAGCATCCAGGGTTCTGCTCGACCACGGATG